ACACTGCAGGTCTGCGCTCTCAGACGGATATCTTAAAGTATGACTTTATATTTACCTGTGCCAAGGAGGTTATGTTTTTGGTTCAGTTGTTTTGCTCTCTTGTGTACGAGTGTTTCAGGGGTGAAGAAAGAAGCTAATTCTTTTGGAACAGATTGAAATCACAATCGATTATTTTCTGTTGTTAACATGTGTTGCCGTGACCTAGGTCTGCGCTTTCTTTTGGGTGTGTAACTATATTTTATATATATGCCTGTGCCAGGGAGGTTACGTTTATGTTGTTCTTCTGTTAAGCAAGTTTATTGAAAAAACAGCTGGCCCCATTTTGAGGAAACTCATGAAATACTGGGCGAATAAATGACTTTTTGGAGCAAATCTGAATCACAGGGCAGATGCACAAAGCCGTTTTGTAACATGAAGAGAGACCTTGGGATGAGGTCCTCGCGCTCAATTGGATATGATACAATATCTTATGATTTTATATCTACCTCCGCCAAGGAAGTTATGATTCTGGTTCAGTTTCTTTGTTCTCTTGTCAAGCAGGTTTTTGGAAAAAGACTGCTGGCCCTATTTTGATGAAACGTAGTGAAGTATGGGCCGAGAAAGAACCCACTACATTTAGAAGAAAAGCTTAATCACATGGCAGATACACGAGCCGAGCAATTCCTATGTGTTTTATTTTACACACACATTTTTAACAGCAGAGGAGACTTTTTAATTCTCAAATTGCACCATTTAGAACTAACTTGTGAATGCAAAAACAATGCAGAGATGATTTGTACACAATTGTGTTCAATAACGGCGACCAAATTAAACCATATGAAGTCATTTCTAAATATGAATACACATTTGACTACATTTATTTTTCTCCCAGTGAAATTGGCATGGGACTTGTTTTTAAGAACCAGGAATCATTCGAATCCAAACGCTACCCAACCCGAGCCGTGGTTGATGAAGTCCTTTGAAATCATAATATCCAAAGTGCATTCCCTTCTCATTTGATCCATGTTAGTTGTGGAACATGGAAACCTAAACTCCCATTACCAAGTTGAACTTTCTCCAGTAGTTCCAACGCAGATGTTTACCACGAATTACAATTGCACTACATCAGTGTTACGGCACAACTCATCCATGACAATGCACCCGTTAGCTTGAATACAACCATACAAGTATATTTGCAACACACATTATACGGAGGGGAATCAAAAATTGGCGGCCTTCTTGCCAATAATTCAGAAATCATGTCGTAGTAACTTGAAAACCCTCTGATTTCCATTTAGACCCTTGCGGTTTATTCTGAAAAACCCTTACCCTTACATACCCCCCATGTTCCCTCTGCTGGTCTATGGCCTTGTAGGGTAACGGGGTACAGAGTCGCTTAGATAAGCGGGGGAGTGCATCTGACGAAGAGATAGGTTGTTGTGCTCCCTCTCTCTGTTTCTTATCCTATATCTAATAGAACTGCTAATAGAACTGCTCGGGTCTTGATAGATTGAGTGGGGAAGTTCATGAGATCTTTCTAGAGGGTTATCAAGAATAACTTTTATCCAATGACCTTCTCCCTCTCTGCCTGTGTCTGTGTATTCTCTTGTTCCGATTAACCCAGCCAAATCTTTGTTCTTGTTTTGTATCTATATCTACGCCGGGATCCGGAGTCGAGGCTGATCCTCTTGCTGTAGTCCTGTGTCTTGGATCCTCTATCCTGAGTTCTGGATTAAGTCGTGGACTTCGGGTCGTGGCTGAACCTGTCTCTGCGGTCCTGCCTTGGGTCTCGTCATGCTGCTTCCCTGATGGCTTCCACAGGATTGTAGCTGACATCCTCGTGGATTCATCTTCTTATTACAGACACATGCATTTCCTAACATTCGGTCTATATGCTGTAAAATGTATTATCTCTTCGATTTACACACGGCATCTATTGCACGTCTGTCCGTCCTGGGAGAGGGATCCCTCCTCTGTTGCTCTCCCTGAGGTTTCTCCCATGTTCCCTTTAAACTGTGGGTTTTCTCTGGAAGTGTTTCCTTGTACAATGTGAGGGTCTAAGGACAGAGGGTCTAAGGACAGAGGGTCTAAGGACAGAGGGTCTGAGGACAGAGGGTCTAAGGACAGAGGGTCTAAGGACAGAGGGTGTAGTTTTTCTCATACTGATATTCTGAACAATCTGTGCTGTTGTATTTGCTGTAAAGTGTCTCTACTGTAGGCTATGTTTATTATATGTACAGCACTTTGGCTCCACCAAAAATCGTTTATAAATGTGCTATAAAAATAAAACTTGATTTGATTTCTGTTTCCAGATTTCCATGCATTTCTTTAACACACACAACAACACCTGATCAAATACAAAGTGCATTTCCTTATTTGTTTAGGTTGTGGTCCTCAAAGAACAGAGGAGGGACCCTGACAAAAAGGCGAAAGGTCTGAGGAATGAATTAGGCGGAGGGAAAGCTTGCTAAGCGATGATGTCTGCCTCATCTGTTCCAGAAAGCAGCATGAACCGCCCGCTTCGCTCGAATCAGTCTGACTCATTTATGGACGCAGATGATTAAGATTTAAATCATAGAAATATGAAAAATTGCGGGCGTTTGGCTTCCTTGCAAAATGCAACAAATGGCCTGAATTATTGTCTACTCAACTCTAAAGGGGGAATAAAATAAGCTTGGCTGATGTTCAGTTGGATGCTGTTGAAAGCCTAAAAAGGGTTACGATTATCTTTGAATGAGAGACAAGTTAGTGTCGAATAAATCCACATTAAGGAAGCTGGAAGTGTTCTAGCAGAACTAATGGTGCTGGGCTTTTTATTTGCAGAACACGTGAATGTATGTAATGGTTTACTACGCGGTAGAAACCTGAGATGATACCCTGTGTGACTTTGGATCTGCTTCAAAGGCTTGTCTCTGTGGATCCCCCAGTTACAGATAAACCATTATATTGAGACGATTAATGAGGCGTAAAATCCAAACAGCGCAGGGTCATTTGTCATGTGGAGCAGAGGGATAGTGAAATTAAGAAAGGATTCCACTATCTGTAAAGACCCCCTGTGTTGGAGTTACAGGTATGACACGCTTCACTGTTGTTTTCTCTGAGTTTCAGTTTCATCAATCATTAAAACGTATTTTTGTTCCAAGTTGATTTGTGGCACGCAGCTGTTTTTGCTCTATTCTGGTCGTACCAGCTTTTTAATATATCATTTTCGACCCAGTGATATGATGTTTATTTGCCTGGCACTGCATTGTTAGATGTATTTCAGCTGAAGCACGTTGACTCATTGACAACGTGACGTGATCGCTGTGTGTTTTGGCTTCTTCTATCAGCGGGGGATTTGCTCTGAAACGTCTAAAAGCCAAATGCCTCGGGCTAACTGAGGCCCAGCGGATCCAGTTTACTGTTCCTCTTCTGCAGGGTCTGTAAAAGGGTCGACGCTTTTATGACTGACCATAGAAGAAGTGGTGCAGGGCGGGAGAATCACAAGCTGTTACTAAAAAAAAAAGTTAAAGGAAAGGCAGGAAAGCGACTTTTTGTTGTTTTTCGTGTTGCTTTCCTACGAATATCCCACCAAAGAAGTTATTCTTTCAATTGGGATACTTCGCTTTGTAAACTGCCATGTCGTGGATTTCAAACATTAAGCGTTGACTCGACATTTTGGGACACAGCATCGGTTAAGTTTAGCCACAGATTGTGGTTTGGGTTCAAATCGGTTTGGAAGTTTAATAATTACGGAAGTTACGTAATAACTAAGTCTATGTTGTCCCACCTATTCCCCTTGTGTGCTGTTTGTACTACTTCACTTCTCCTGGTTTAGGATTACGTCGATAATATACTAATATATTACAGTGGAAGACTAATCAAAGACCCTTTTTTTATCCCAAGACAAAGCACAGATACACCTGCGAATGTAGGCAAATATATGCCTTCAAGTTGACCAAAGTTGAAGCAATGTTTTATGCATACGTTTGCATCGAACAGAAGTGAATACAAAACAGGTTTATTTCGCTCATCCGTGCCCTAGTGTCCCATTCTGTGCTCAATTAAAGGAAATCTGCATGTTTGCTCTCTTTCCAAGTGTCAGAAATGAACGTCGATGCTCTCGCCTAAAAATAGACCCTCAATTAAAAGCTCAGTTTTCCATGTGCAGACAGTTTGTAGGGATAGGACTTTGCTTTGTGTTTTAGGGAGCCCACACCAGCGTGTAAAGATATGTACTCAGATCAAGCGGACGTTAGCAGACATTGCCTAAAGCCAGTGGCGAACCGTGTCTATCACAACTGAACCTTCTGTAGACACACACACCCCCGCCCCCCCCCCCTTCCCTCCGCGGCATTATAATGTCCGTCTTTTCACTGAATTGTCGTCTTGAAAATGGTACTCACAACAACTTCATCTTCACCTGTCGCTCTTGTCATTTTGACGTTAAAAACAATAACACGGCATGAATTGCTTCGTCGCATTCATCTAGATCCTCTGCCTCGAGCCAGTTAACTAGCGGGCCTTCTAGAATACCCTGGAGCAGAGGGGAACTCTGAAAGAATATGCCCATTGGCTACAAATCAATATATGATTGGCTGATCAAACTGTCAGTCCAAACGTACGCTCTCATTCAGAGCAACGGCCAGGGATGTATCAAGGATGTAGAATACCTTGTTGAAGGATATTCTACCCAGAGACCCAGAACAATATCTGATTGGTTGCTTTCTTTTCTACTGAAATGCGTAGTGCATGGTCCGAGAAGGTAACGTAACACTGTAATATTACAGATCAACAACACAGATACGATTCTCATTTATTCATTTTATGTATATAATTAAATCGATCTTTTGTTTGTTTTATCTGTTCCAGGGTATTCTCTGAATACCTTGAAGGCCCTGACGGTTCGCCATTGCCTAAAGCTCTGTGAGCAAGCCATCAGGGAGTGGATTAGCTTTTACCCGGTCAGGATGAATTGAGACGTCTGACCTCTTGCCTGCTGGCTGACGTCTGGCAGCTCTCAGATCATTGGACTCACTCACCGTAGTCTTTTTTACAGTACTTCTTCATGGTGATCTTCAACTTTCCCTTGGACGCTTTACAGTGCGAGTCACAGTCTGGAGAGAAGGGGAGAGGAAAGAGGAAGAGAGAAAGTTAGATATCAAATCAAATCACTTTCAAAGGATATTAAGCTCATTTCGTATTTGGTTTGAGTTATTATTCTTAACTGGACTCGCCAACAACTCTCCCGGTACCTGTGTCAGAAAGTTTTGACCTTCTGTAACTTGATTTAATTTCCTCCTTTTTGAATCCGTTACTTCTTGGGTATTGCCAACATGGATGTACCTCAAAGGACTTGATCATGGACTCATCAGAGTAGACGAGTCTTTGTGGATTCTCGGTTTCTGAACAATTTGTTCCAGAGTTTGATTCAGGATCAAATGTACGTTAAAGGCTTCTTGATTGTTAAATGTCTGTTTCCCTTGTTTCCTGTCTTTAAAATATGTCCTTGTTGATGTTGTAAATGGAGTTGCTGTGATGTGGGAAGTGTTTCAGACGTGGATTGACGATAAATCAGAATCAGAATACCTTTATTCGTGCCACAGAGGGGACATTCGTATTAGTTACAGCGAGAACAGCTTAATGTTAAAGGTCACCTATTATGCAAAATCCTCTTCTTCATGTCTTTTCCACATCAACATGTGTCCCCTCTTCTTCATGTCTTTTCCACATCAACATGTGTCCCCTCTTCTTCATGTCTCTTCTACATCAACATGTGTCCCCTCTTCTTCATGTCTCTTCTACATCAACATGTGTCCCCTCTTCTTCATGTCTCTTCTACATCAACATGTGTCCCCTCTTCTTCATGTCTCTTCTACATCAACACGTGTCCCCTCTTCTTCATGTCTCTTATACATCAACATGTGTCCCCTCTTCTTCATGTCTCTTCTACATCAACATGTGTCCCCTCTTCTTCATGTCTCTTCTACATCAACACGTGTCCCCTCTTCTCCATGTCTCTTCTACATCAACATGTGTCCCCTCTTCTTCATGTCTCTTCTACATCAACATGTGTCCCCTCTTCTCCATGTCTCTTCTACATCAACATGTGTCCCCTCTTCTTCATGTCTCTTCTACATCAACATGTCTCTTCTACATCAACATGTGTCCCCTCTTCTTCATGTCTCTTCTACATCAACATGTGTCCCCTCTTCTTCATGTCTCTTCTACATCAACATGTGTCCCCTCTTCTCTCATGTCCCCCCCCCCCCCCCTTATCACCTGAATCTCCTCTAGAGCTCCATTGAGTTCTTTGTAACCAAATGTCTCTCAGAGGGGCGTGGGGAGGGGCTCCTTATTTTCATCTGAAGTAACAGACAGAGAATCAGCACTTTGGAAACAGGGCTGAAACAGAGGGGATTATGGGTAATGCTGTTTGGTGTTTCAGCCAATCAGAGACAGGCTCTGGATATATCTGAGACCTGTGATGTATTGATGACAAACAGTAGGGGACCTTTAACCAAAACAAGTGTCTTCATATCCTCTATTATGGTGTGATGGGCCCTAGATCATAAAACATTCCCAGTGAGAGGACACAGTGGGTCAGCATCCTCACAGCTGGACGACTGCTTCCAAAGAGCCTCTGTGTGACGACTATAGCTTACACAGATCCTCCTGTGTCTGTTAACACACTCTCACTACCCCCCCGCCCATCCTTTCCAGTCTCGTCAGTGTCCCGGCACGCATTGTGTGACCTTCAGAGGTCAGACGGCACAAAAGGAGGTCGCAGGGGGAAATGAGCAACTATCTTTTTTAGGAGCATCTGAGCCTCTAAAGGGCGAGAGAGTGAATCCTCCAACGCTGGTCGAGGCTAAATGTCGAGGAGCAGCTCAAAGATTTGTTTTCACTTTCCGTAACTTGATAGATTTGGAATGTCTCACTTTCTGCATTTGTTACTTCATGGGGTTTGCAGAAGGTTAGGGTTCTCAGCTTCTTATAATCAGGTTACATTACTTTTACATTTTGATACTCAGATAAGTTTACTGATTACATTTGTTGGACACCTATCTAGTTATTGTAACGGATGACATTTTAAAAGTAACCCTCCCGACCAGGGGCGGCGGGTGCTGTAGGCTAGGGAAATATTTGTGTCACTGCATCCTGGTAAAATACAAATATAATGTATAATGTCTGTGTCTTTGACGTTAGCGCTGCTAGCCACCTACGAAGCCAGTTCAACATACCCTGGATATGTAACAAACAAACTAACAACAACAAACTAACAAACGAGAACTCGCTAAACGGTCCTATGGCGCTGGTTATCAACTCTGTAAATCAAGCCAGGGTTTCTCTCTCCAGCTGAGAGCGCGTTCACGGGGGCGGGGTTAGCTACATTTGACCAATCACAAACCGAGACAAGTGTACTGACAGCGCAGCGTCATACTTCATTAATGAAAAGTAAACTAATATTAGACAAATATGAGCTTTAAACATCCATGATGACTTAAACATATAATCCAGGATACAAGCCACAGAGTTGCTGCAAGGAGAATACAGAACAACTGGTTAAAAAATAACTAGGCCTACCGAGTGTTTGAAAGCGTATAGTTTTATGATATCACTGCCCCATCTAAGACACGAGTGGATCTGACTTTAATTACATTTGACTCGAGTGTTTCGTCAACATAATGTGTTGCTTAAAATAACACTTCTGCATACAGTATGTGACACTGTGAGTGTTGCACGGCCAGATACGGCTCAGCTGACTCAGATAAGGAAATATATTATGATATTATATGATCGATGATCTGATTGATGATGTAATATGAATGATAAGTGCGACACGTCGGCGTCTTCTCTGCATACGGCAGTTTAAACTGTATTTCCTTTATCCTGTAATATGACTTGAGAGATTTAAACTCCGCACACTGAGTTGATCTCTTGTCTATAGACGCCGGAGTCGGGCAGCGTCAGGTAAAAAAAGTTATTTAGCCTTCCCAAACCTGAGCCTCACGCGCCGCCTATGCTCCCGACCTTTTTGGATTGTTGTGAACCATTCACATTTTAGGACTCATTCCTGCACCACTCTTAAAGCCCCTGTCACACTGTCCCGAAATTGACACCCGATGGACACACGATAAAGGAAATGTTCAAATTCGGCTGTGATCGTAGCAACATCGGGCCATTCGTGAGGGCATCTAAACCATCGTATGACCGCCGGTGGAGTTTCTCAGGCTCCGGCAGCAACTTCGTGAGCGGCAACTTCGTAAGGCACTCGTGAGGGCATCTTGTCGAATCGTGTCATCTTCGTGTTATCATCGGTGCATTCATCCTCACTCTGATCGGGGCGAATGCCCGATGGCACCGATGATAACAAGATGCCCTCAAGATGGCCTTACGAAGGGCAAAATGGACACACGAATTCAACACGAAAATGAACCTTCGCAAAGATTTTGCCACCGCTCACGAAGTTGCTGCCGGAGCCTGAGAAACTCCGCCGGCGGTCATATGATGGCTTAAGATGCCCTCACGAATGGCCCGATGTTGCTACGATCACAGCCGAATTTGAACATTTCCTTTATCGTGTGTCCATCGGGTTGTTTTATTGCACAACAAAATCATATACACAACCCAATTTGTGTTCTGTGAAACTAAAAAGGATATAATATATTATTTTGAAGGCGAGTTGACAGGAAGTTGTTGTTGCTATGGAAACAACATGACGGAGAAAACGTAATATCTTCTACATATAAAGACGGAGAAAGTAAAGAACAAAGTTTGAAAATATCAGTACTGTATCATAGTACTTTAACATAATTGTTTTTGTTACTTTCGTTGCAGTTGTATGTCTTAAGGCCCGGACACACCAGGCCGATTTCGGCTGTTTTCGTAAGTCGGGAGACGAAGCGTGTCCTGTCGCCCAAACTCAATTTGGTGTGTCCCGCACCGTCGACCGTGACACGCCTTATTTGGACTGCCTGTCCCGATCATAGACTGTATATATAAAGGTCCCATCGGGTCTGGCAGTCGGACCAAACAATCACTCTGATTGGCTGTTCAGCTAGCGAATCAGTGCATGAGAAGCGAAACGGAAGTGAGGGACGTAAACAAACGATTTAAGAAGGCACACACAGACTGATATTCATTTTCATCTCATCATGGCGATCTGGAATGACGCAAACGAAGACCTGCTCATCCCATTGATCCAGGAGAGGCCAGCTCTGTACGACATCACAGAGAAAAGGTACTCGAACCGAGTAGTGAAAACCGGACTCTGGCGAGAGATTGAAACGCAACTTGGTTTCTCGGGTAAGATTATCTTTTTCATCAATTGAGCTCTTTAGCAGATATTGTTGGCTTTTTATTGTTTGCCAGCGTACAGTGACGTTAACGTGAAATGTAATTTGTTATTTCAACCTTGTGTTTTGTTGTTATCTTGTTGCTAGCTGTGCAGTTTGGCACTGCATATAGATATTAATTGGACATGCTAACTAGCCACAATGCTTACATCGTTTATTTGTGTGCTTCAGAGAAAGAGCTGAGGAAGAAGTGGATTCTCTGCGAACCCAGTGCACCCGGTACAGGAGACTTGCCCCTTCGGGTAGCTGTGGACCAAAGACGGGCAGACAGCAGTGGATCATAACCAGGCTGCAGTTTGTACACGCTATTTGTTGTTGTTTATATCATGCAGTCTGTTCTTCTTCTCTGTCTTCCGGTTGTTGCCTATTTTTAATGACGAATACACACTACCGCCGCCTGCTGGTAAGGAGAGTTATTGCCACTCACGCACTGAAGTCTTTGCTGTGTTCCCGTGCGACACATGGCCAAGACGCAGGAGAACACCGCGACGCAACAGCCGACGTCGGCGAGTCCTCTGGTGACTGCTTGGTGTGTCAGGGCCTTGTAAATGTTGCCTTCGTGTGTGGTTCGGGGCCATCTTCGTGCGAAATTCACGATTCCATATTCGTGTGTCCATCGGGTGTCAATTTCGGGACAGTGTGACAGGGGCTTTAAGGACAGGAAGGACACTGAAGCTACGTCTTAGACGATGTGCAACTGAAATGTTGACCTGTGTCAAAGGGGGTGTCAAACTCAATTTCATCGCGGGCCACATTAG